TTGAACGTTCCTAAGCGCAGGACATCCAGTGGATATAAAGGTGTTACAGACTTATCTAAAAAGTCCGGATAAAGACTAATGATACTGCAAGCCTCAGCATTTCTTAGACCATTTCCAACTGCGCTGCTCACCATCTGCACAAAGATCAGTGTTATTATGGATTTGTTGAAAAATCTATTTTTGGAATGCTAATGTCCTTTATATCTTTCAGAGATAAAGAATGCTCGGTGCGTTTCTGTGGGATGATTTCCAGGAGTATCAGAGATCTGCCCAGCCCCTACTACTGTGGATTATTGGACCAGCTGCTTTTAGGCTGTCTGCGCTCTCAAAGAAACAGTTTCTCAGGTTCTCTGTACGACCTACGCAGGTTTGAGAATTGTCTTCACAAGCCAAGTCTTGGAGAACTGCGCTATATGTGCAGGCCTTTAAAACAAGTGACTGGATTCAGTTTCCACCTGATTTTCCACCTGTTCTCCGGAATAAAACTGCACGGTGGTGTTTTAATTAGTAACTTTACCACCCAGGAAAAGAGGCACCATTATATTATTTAGTTTCACTGGCTGTTTAGCTATCTCTTGATCATGTAAAGTGAGTCCACTATTCCTGCTACATGTTGCCACTGAGCCTCTAGAAACTGAAATGATTGAATAATATAGATCGAAAAGTAGAAATAAAACATTTGCATCAGTGGAATGACTTATTTTCAGCATAGAAATAGGGAAAACATGTATTTCTGAAGTATTCCTCATACTGGGAAAAGGACAATAAAGGGTGTGTGTGTGTGTGTGTGTGTGTGTGTGTGTGTGTGAGTGTGTGTGTGTGTGTGTGTGTGTGTGTGTGTGTGTGTGTGTGTGTGTGTGTGTGTGTGTGTGTGTGTGTGTGTGTGTGTGTGTGTGTGTGTGTGTGTGTGTGTGTGTGTGTGTGTGTGTGTGTGTGTGTGTGTGTGTGTGTGTGTGTGTGTGTGTGTGTGTGTGTGTGTGTGTGTGTGTGTGTGTGTGTGTGTGTGTGTGTGTGTGTGTGGAGAGAGAGAGACTGCTTTAGTGGATTATCTTGTTGATATGTCCTCATGTATCTCTCGTAAAAGTGATGTTGATCTCAAGGACACATTACAGAGTAACTAACTTGGTAAATGGAAAGTGTACATAAAGATAACACTTGTACTTAGTTGTCCTGCGTCTATAGGCTATAGCAGTATTTTGTTTACCAAAACTGTCAACAAGTGTCAAAGTGAGACCTGTAGTGTGATCTTGTAGTTGGACTTGTTTTCCTGATTTATTTTTGTCCTCACTATCAGATTTAATAAAGTTTGCACAGATTTGTGTAGTCTTTAATACAGACAACTTGTAAAGAAAGCCCAGTTGTTTCCATGAGAGGCTTTATGATGTATCTATTAGCTTCAAGCTACTTTTAAGAGAGGACACTGCCCTAAGCTATGTACGTGAGAGTAAGAAATCTGAGGTGGAGGCAGATGAACTGTAGCCCTCCAGACTGTGTATCCTTGGTCTGGACAAAGAAAGCAGCCTCAGTAGTTCCGTGCAGCATCCAGGAATGGAGATTAGCACGGAGCCATCAGCTGCAGTCCCTCCCTACCCGGCTTCTCCTGTCAGAGCGCCTCCTCCCTGCTTGTCAGGAGCTCCGACGAGGAGCTGTAAAAACCTTTTCCCCTCTCCTTAACAACTGCAAAACAACACGCACACACCCCGGCTGAGGTGCCTGCTTTTCTGAGGCCTCTGACAGGACGTGCTGCAGGCACAAATTGTAATTCATAAAGGTTAAGGGGGTCAATGCCTTTTATTACCAGTCTGAGTGCATCCAGCTTGATGGGGCGGGCATGCAAATGGAATGTCTCAGAGTGTTCTATGCAAGAACTCAGACAGCGAGTGCGTGCGTGACTCTCAATGGGAGGAAGTAAAAAAAGGTGGAGGGGGGGTGCGTGAGATAGCTGCTCTCTCCACCCTCCATAGCCATGTAGGATCATGCAGCCGCTGCCCGGTTAATTAGACAGTATGACATTGACCTCAGGTAGTTAACGGCCACTTTGATATGTGCCGTCTAGCAATTAATATATTGTAAATCCTCATGTTTTATTATAGGGCTAGCTCTGACCTATAAGTGTCTGCATTACACTTGGGTCTACAATACATTCTTACATTTTACATTTGCATTAACATAAATTCAATGTCAGGAATGTAAAATTAAAGATCTGTTTTATTTGTTTTCAAAGCCTTCTGTTCTGCAATTACATAAATAACAGGAGGTTAAGAGATTTAGACCAAACCAGGTATTTGAACACAAAAAGGGGATACAATTATTTTATCTATGGGATAGTTATTTAGGTGTTTATTAAGAATAGATAATATTGTGTTCTGGTTATCATGCCAATGGATTTTAGAACAATGTTGCAAAGTCTATGTTTTAAAAATATTTTGTTCAGTTACCATGACCCCTGCAACAAAGGCTAGTCCTACTAGTCTGTATTGCACCCTCTGTTGGACCTTTAGGGGAACGTCTTTGTTTGTGGTTCCTCAAAGTACACTGCGAGCTACTCAGTCTCTTCAAGATGCAAGGCTTTTATTGTCATATGTACATAGCTACAGTGTAGTTATGACTATTACTTTCTTAGGTCACAGGCCTTTCATCTCTTGCGACGATACCATAATACTGGACACGAGATACAGTTTTACCAGCTTATGACATTTTTAGAAGTTTGGTTTTGCATTATTGTTTCTAACACATGGTCATACATCCATGCATTCATGTGAAATAAGCTGTTAGAAAGGATCTACTTGGCACACAACTAATACAGATAAATGAACCAGCTCAAAAATAAACATGTGAAACAAACTCTGCAGAACAGATAGGAATTATAAAGCATGGGGTATAGTATACCACTGAAGAACAGAATGTGACAGAATAGAACACACAAGAATAACGTGGAACAGAGTAGAATAGTTAGAACAGAATACAATGGAATGGGAAGGAACACAACACCATAGGATAGAATGAAATATAATAGAACACAATACAATAGGAATTTAACAGAATATGTAAGAAAATAGATAGGGTAACATAGAACAGAATATGATAATATTGAATACAACAGAATTATCAAATAGAATATGATAGAATATAAATAATGACATAATAACACAGAGAAAAGATAGGGAAATAATAGTATATCATTTAGTTGTCTTTATCTTTTCTGTGATTTTTAATGCAATGCTCTTGCTGTCTTCTTCTACATTTATGGTTCATGTATGATCTACCGACTGTTTGAATCTGTGTCTTCATGTTGGCTGTAAAACTAAAAAGATCATATACCTGAGGAGCCACTGAAATTCCTCTCTTAAAGCCAGCATGCAGCAAAAGCACACTCCCTGTGCTCATTACCTTTCCATCACAGACCAGCTGCTGTGGAGTCATTCATCACGATTACAAATCCGCCCGGTGCTGGTAGCCCTCAGCTCCACCATCAGCTCCACCATCAGCCTGTGAGATGCACAGCCCTGAGCCATCAGTCCCTCCGGGCAGAGTGTGAGATTTACACCCCAACAGGTGATAGTAGTGGACAGCGCCAGGCAGCTTTTGTTATGAGGGAAAAACTCATTTTGAAATCCTGGCTGAAATTCTGCTGTCCCCGCAACCAGGATGGAGACCATTTGATAATAAAATAGGGTTTTTCTGATGTTGTGCTGGTGTTATGATATCTACAATATCAGAATATATATGATCAGCTTTATTGGCAAAGAATGAGTAAACATACAAGGAATTTGACTCTATTTTGTACTTACAGAGAAATAAAATACAGCTAAAAACCAGAACTCATGTTTAAGTAAACATAAACATTAAGCTGTTTTGTACATGTAAGATAACTAATATATAAACAAAACAACAATGAACAATACAACTTCTTTAAGTCAGAAGATTCTTGGTCGAATTGTAAAGAAAATAATACAGTAAAATCATTATCACAAAATTGTGATAACACCTTGGAGACAGGATTTGCAAGTGCTGTACACAAATATATAAAGGAAAGGGAAACACATTGTCTTTCAGAAATTAGAATCACGCTAACCTTGTCTAAATTGCCATTATTTCCTGGTTTGACCGCAGCTAAGCAAAAGCCAAGAATTTCCATCTTTGAATAGTCCCCTGTTCCCACAGTTAAGCCAAGGTCTACTCAGAATGTGTTTCTTAATGTTAATGGTGACGGATAGATAGGGACACTTCCTTCCTACACAAGTCTTAGAATAACATTTAAATGTCTCAAAATGATTTATCTATTTGTTATTTATTTGATTTAGAAGTAGAATTGTCTAAATAAAAAATGGACTTCTATTGTATGATATATATATATTTTAATATATATATATATATATAATAGGCTATGTATATAAAAATATATAATAATAACATTGGTTATGTTTTTTTCATGGGATTTGTTCGCAATAAGAAATTATCTCCGGACTCACCATAAGTCTTGTAACATGGTGCATATTGTTAATTGATCGTTTTAACTAGACCCATAGCTAATTTCCCCCTCAGGGCCCTTGTACAGATTTTTTATATAAATTAACCAGACCAGCGGCAGCAACATCATTATAACTATTAACATTATAGGTATGAATGAATGTAAATGTGTACAAAATGCAGGTACTTTCGGGTAAAGTTTTTAATATTTGTATTCAAAAACATAAAAGATCTCGCAGAGAATGCATACACATATTATAGTGCAATAAAAACATCAAAATAAATCAAATAATATACAATATAAGAATATAATATATATAGTATATTCTTGGCACATATAATATATATATTATATTCTTTACGTGGATAAGAACAAAGTATAAGTAAGAAGTGCAAGGACAAAAGATGTAGAAAATAATTTCAGAGTGTAAACAACGGTTAGATTTGTGAATGAACGTTGTTGTTGTGATCAATATCAATAAAGTTTCTGTGAAATGACCTTTCACTGTCATCATCCGGGACTCTACACACGTCACTCCGCGCAAGCGCACTCTTCCACTGTGGTTCGTCCTCTGCAGTCGGTAAGTGTGCAATGGCAGATTGAATGAGAAGCCTACTTCTACAAATCCCTTTTCATCCTCTCTCCTAACTCCACTTTGTAGCGCGCAAGTGAGGATAGCATGCAGAATGGATGTGAATGTACATATGAGTGGCTTTATTTTCTTTGTGGAGCATTTTTATACCCGTTTGACCTTACTTCTCTCTCGTCTTCCCACAGAGACCCGGGCTTTAACCAGATTTGACCAAACCGGCTAATACTACTAAAACAGAAACATGTACGCCTGTGCAAAGTTCGTCTCCACGCCGGCCATGGTGAGTTTGCATTTTCATGTGTTTTCGTTGAATTCTCCTTTCCTAATTCCGTTAATGAATCCGGTGGGCCTCTGTCTGAACTTGAGTGTAGCTCACTGACAAGGGTATATGCAGCCTAGGCCAACAGGCTAGTGAGCTAATGCTAAAGCTAAAGCACAGAATGACTGACAGACATTTTAATCTGTGCCAATGTTGTCATCGTAATCATGAATGCTATGCAATGGTGCATTCAAGGTGTCTTTGGAAATCTGCCTCTGTCTGTGCTTTAGCATGTAGCATACATCTTTAGTCATGGCCGTTAGCTAAGGTCATTGCAAGCCTCTGCTAGCTGGATTTAGTGCACAGTTCCCTAGAATCTCCTACATATGGATGTGCAATTGATAAACTATCACTTTGCGTATTCCAGCTTTGATTGCTTCCAAATATATATATAGCCCTAGGCTTTAAATCCTCCTCCAAGGTCACATTTAGGTTTCTAGTAGCTTAGCAGACTAGGTGGTTTGAATTACAACAGGGCAATTGTTCAGTAAGCTTGCTATGTATGTTTAATGTATCTGGCTACTGGCTCAGATGAACAAAAACTTCATTTTCAAAGCAAAGCACATACTGTACTCTTAAACCTTTAAAGGCCACAGGTCATGTAGTGTTTGCACTGCATTGAATGACACTGGAGTTGACAAAGTGACTTCAAGGTGCTTTCAACTTGCTCAGACTGAGAATGGATACCAAACATATGTTTCATTAAGCTTACATGTGTGTTGTGTCTCTAAACTAAAGTGTGTCTGTGTTGTTGCTGCAGCTCCGCGCTGGTTCCCGGGCTCTTTACAGACCCCTCTCTGCCTCAGTGCTGTCCAGGCCTGAGCTCAACACAGAGGTAAGAAGAAAAACATGCTCTCTCCTGGGACTGCAATTATCTTTTAAACTATACTGATTGCTTTTAGTCATTTCCTTCATGAAAGAATATTAAAATGTTGAGACCACAATGTAGCAGCTTCAAATTAGTCTGACCCAAATAGTTTTTCAACTATCAGTCTTTCAGAGTTTTTGATATTCTTTTTTAATTTGAAATGAAGAAGTAAGAAGCATTGTTATGAAAAAAGTGTTGTTAAATTCAGACTTTAATTTGGTCATTTTTGATTAATCAATTATTCCTAACACTTGCTTCAGTACTCTTTGCATGTCAACTGACTTCATTGTCATATCCACTGCCGTTGGTTTTAAAATGTAATTAAACAGTATTTTGTCTTTTCTTGCTCCAGAGCACTGTTGCTCTGATGCCACAGAGCCCCCTCTCCCTGGCCACACTGAGGGGCTTCCAGACCAGCGCTGTCAGCCGGGACATTGACACCGCTGCCAAGTTCATCGGAGCTGGAGCCGCCACAGTCGGAGTCGCTGGATCCGGAGCTGGAATTGGGACCGTGTTCGGCAGTCTCATTATCGGCTATGCTAGGTTTGTTCTTGCAGACATGCATCCCAAAACATATTATCTTGGATTATTAGATTTCTGGTGAATGCTTTTGTTTTTCCATTGAGGCATTGACGGTCTTCTCTTGTTTGCAGGAACCCATCTCTGAAGCAGCAGCTGTTCTCATATGCCATCCTGGGATTTGCTCTGTCTGAAGCCATGGGACTGTTTTGTTTGATGGTCGCTTTCCTTATCCTGTTCGCTATGTAAAACTCTGCTGTCAAACAACACTTTCATTACAAATGTGACTACATATTTTATTGTGGCAACCAACATTGTTGTACATTTTCAAGTCTTTCAGACACTGTCAAAATAAGCAGAGCATGTATTGTACAAATGTAAGAAATTACGTCATTAAAATACATGTATTTGACTATTTAACAATGGCAGTACAACTTTTATGTCTGGAATTTCAAGCTAGCAAAGTAGAGGGCAGTGTGCTTTTTTGAATGTCATCCTTTCTGTGAAGCAGCTGCTAAGACTCGCCATGAATCAGCTTTGTTTTCTCATCACATGCAAGCTTTGGGGTCCACCTTCATTACTTCTTGGTACAGATGCAGGTAAATAGTACTGTATTTAAGGCAGCACGTGAGTGCTTGCTGTTGTAAATGTAAATTAAATAAATCTAGATGGTTTCATTACGCTATACTATGGGTTTTGACTTTTTTCAATATTTTTTTTTATTTTCTTTCATTGTAAATGAAGTATCCTTAGATTATGGTTTGCTTGTCAGACAAAATCAATTTTAAAATGCTACTTTGGAAATGCTGGTGGGCTTTTTATTTACAATGTTTTAGTTTTGCTAAACTGAAGAATTACAAAGTGACTAGGCTCTGAGATTTAATAGCAAACATGTATGTACTATTTTCATATTTAATAACCCTGAAAAGTGGCCTTATGGAAAACAAATGTAAAGTATTCTATCGAAAGCTACAGTATATGCAAAAAGGTCATATTTATCCCAAATTCATATGTAAATATTCCAGGACTAGGGATGCTAAAATTCAAAATTAACAAAGGTTTTTATTTCAAATGAAATATATCAAGAACCTTCTAGGTGCACAGAATCCAAAATAGGAGTCTCCAACATGACCTCAGGTGACAACTTAAAGCCTCCATCCATTCCAGCAGAATGTATACATCAAAACTTGCTTGGATGACATCTTTACATGTTATGTTCAAAACTTTATTTTAAAGAACTTTTTGGGGACAATTATACAAATGTACACTACCTATACAACTGTAGTCTACACTGCAAACATGCCAGGGTGACTAATGTTCTATTAATTAATGTAATCTTGCACCACCTAGCAGATTTTCTAGTTTCTCCAAGCAAATCTTCTTCTGAAAAGAAAGGCATGCTTTTTTACAATTTACATTAAATAAGAGTGCATAAACGATCATACCAATTAAATTACTAAATAAAGGAAAAAGAGGGCTTAAAAATTGCTATTATCCATGGAACATAACACTGACGTTAACGGAAGAGCACAAGCTGCTCTCGCGATACTTGAGTACAGACGTGGGGATTTGGAAATCCAGGGTTGTGGCTGTGGGGTAAGTGACCATTTAAACTCATAGCGAATGGGTACAAAGCGGTTGTAAAAGGCATCGTTTGTGGCTCTGCGAAGGACTTATGCTCCGGTACAATAAAACGACCTCGAAACAACCATTGACATCCCCTCTGTTTACTGAGATATTTAGGTCTAAACATGGCGACGCTTGTATGTTATCGCTTGGCTCGGGTTATTGCATGGAAGCGACGAAAGCAGATTATCTCACCCTGTTATTGTTTGTTTGTGTTACGCTTTCTCATTATATTTTACATCATATTTTTGCCAAAGCTGCAGCTGGTTATAGCTGAAGAAGTCGTCCTCAGCAGGACAATAATGAGAGGACCGTATTTTTATGATGACACTGAGGTGTAAACAAGCAAAGCAGCCGCCCATCATCGATAGGCTTTGTCCACATCTCCAGATGTTCTCTCTCAGGACTTTTACCCAAACAGTGCCTCATCGTCACTCAAACACTATTAATAAAATATCTGTTATAACCTCAATGTTTATTTACATCTTGAATGATTCGTAGTTCGATTTCTAAACAGTTAACCTTACATTAATGCACGTCTACGTCTAAGATTTTGCTTTTTGCTATACTTGTTTTATTTCAGGGTGACACAACAGGAAAACCCTTAATATGAGTGATGACAAACCTTTCCAATGTACTGCTCCTGGCTGTGGACAGGTAAGTCCTCTCAGTTTTTGCTCATGTTACTTTGAGTCACTGTCTAAATTACCCTTCATATGGGTCATTTGTTGGACTATAGCTGTTTTCATTAAACAGTTACAAAGTACTTAACTCAACTGAACAGGTTGAAAGACTATACACAGTGAAGATAATAACACAAAAACATAACTTAAAACAAAGAAATTGAGCATAAATAACAGATTGTTTACTTAAAACAGGTAAAGTAAAGCAGTAACACAGACTTACTCTGGAGCTGTATTTCTCTAGACGAAATGTTATAAATACCTAAAGCACACTTTTATTATCAAACGTATGCTTTGTCTTAATTTGAGTATTGCAAATAAATATGTTTGAATATGACACTTGTAACCAAGAGAAGACATGACGTTTGTGTTACAGACCATATATATATTGATTCTGTTCTGTCTTTTTGTTTTGACCATACATAGAGATTTACAAATGAAGATCACTTGGCTGTCCACAAACACAAACATGAGATGACCCTGAAGTTTGGTCCAGCAAGGAATGAAAGTGTCATCATTGCTGGTAAGTGCTCTGTTAATGTCCAGATATCTTAACTTAAATTATGCTTTACAAGTATGTGTAGTAATGGTTTTATTCCATTGCAGACCAAACACCGACACCCACCCGTTTTTTAAAGAACTGCGAGGAGGTCGGACTCTTCAATGAACTTGCAAGTCCGTTCGACCATGACTTCAAAAAAGCAGCTGAAGATGACATTAAAAAGGTTGTTTTTGGTATCGAACTATAAACATATCATGAACTACTGTTTGTCTGATGGTGAGCATGTATACCACTGATCTGTTTTATTTTGATGATTTTACTCATGTTTTTGTAGTTACCATTGGATTTGTCACCTCTCGCAACGCCTATCATGCGCAACAAAGCTGAGGAACTCACAGCTATGGAAGCACATCGAGATAGCCCTCTGCCTCACCCCGAATCTACGACAAACGATGACGTGAAGGTAAAGCCTTCGAAAAAAAACAGTTTGGAGTATTTGTGCTTATCAAAGAGAGTTAATAGGGCTTAGATGAAGAGTGAATAGCAGCTGATCTCCTGCTTTAATGTTCATCTAATTTACTCCTGATTGAACTTTCAAAGGTAAGACTTTCATGAAAAATGGCTGACAGTACTGCACAAAATGATTATGTATACATGTTCATTAGAGATATTGGATTGACTTAAACTAAGAAGCTTTTTCTCTCTATTTAGTTAGCTATTTTATTTTTCTGAGTATTGCTGCAACGTCAGAAAAAGAAAAATTCACTATAATGTGAACAGTTTGTCCTAACAATATATATTTGAGCTGTAACTGGATACAAGCATATCACGTCAGCATGTATGTTGTAAAAATGAAATTATAACTTAATATAATGTTAACAATTATTGTTTTAACAATAAATGTTATTGTTGAACTATCCCTTTAATCTTATACTGGCATGGCAGCAATACAATTCTGTCCAAATGGGTAATTTTGACCTCATTTCTAATAATTTGAAGTAACTTACTTTTTCAATACTTCCTGCAGCTAAGGTCTTGTATGGTGTTCACAGGATTTATTTTTGCAGCCATCCTCACTGCCAACCTCCACTATAGTCCATCCTGCATCCCTCCAAGTTCCCAATGTACTTCTAGCAACCTCAGAGGCTAGTGTTGTAATTCAGCAAGATCTCCCGTCACCAACATCTAGCTCTGTTATTACCCAAGTCCCATCCACTAATAGGCCTGTAGTGTAAGTAACTCCAAACGTCCATTTCTTTTAAATCATAGTTTTTTTAAGTCATCTTTTTTTAATTTATTCATATTTGTGCATTTTTGTCTTGGTGAGCTCATGATTTATGAGGCATGACTGTTTTTGTATTATTTGTTTATTCACACTGTGCCCGGAATTGTAATGTTTAGCTGTAGACCTTATTATTTCCGTCTTTAGAAATAACATCAGCATTGCTCAGATATGGACTTACAGCTCAGTGTATAGCTTCAGGTCAATTTCTGAATGTTTCCCCAATCAAAATCTTTGAATAGAAACACTTTATTAAGCCCTCATATAGGATTGTATGGTTTAAAGAGCCCTCCTTTGAACAAAGATACAATAAAATATGAGTACTGTCGTACAACACCGACAATGTTGAATAAATACATTGAAATGAATAGCTTTTGTTAAAAAAGCGGTTTAAAAAAGATGCTTTTGAAGCGATTTATGGATATGGATTTGCTAGAGTCTCCCTTGGCCTTAAATTCAGCAATTAATTAATGGACAAAGCTACAATGGCCGATCCCACTCATTCTGCCTTTAACATTTTTGCCTGAAAAATATGCTTCAAATCCAAATACATCGGTAAAATACATCCTGTATTTACGTATACATAACTAACAACATTGTTAGTTTAGTGGAAGCTGATTGGTTTGACCCGACCAGAAGTCCATATCTGTGCAAACCCTGACACTGATCACCTATGGGGTCTGATGTGGTGACAAAATATGTGTTCTCATATTACTGTGTATGTACATGTGTATTTTGTGTTGAACATTGTTTTGCTTTGTTTCCGTAAGATGTTGCCTGTTTGTGACATATTGTTGTTGTACAAGTAGCCATGTGGTCTTTAGTTTTGGATTGTGTTTTGTGTGTTTATCACAAAGTTGTGAGTTATTCTCCTCACTTGGATTTCTTTTCTCCCCCCCTCAGCCCGGTGTCCGGCACCTTCCCTGTGCTCCTACAGCTGCCTAACGGCCAGACCATGCCGGTTGCTATACCTGCGTCTATTACAAGCTCAAGTATACATATTCCAACTACAATCCCTGTGAGTACGCTGTTGCTATTTTTGTGTGTTTGAGTTACAAGCAAAGTTTGAACATGTTTGTTTCTGATCATTTGGTGACTATAGTAATCAGAATTAGGAATGCATACAGTGACTTTACTCACTGAACAAATAGCAATGTCACTAAAAAGTGTGTGAACTCAAGGTCCATTTAGTATCTGTTCTAGATCTTTCCAGCTCTACAACTAATAGTGTGGATTTACATAATGGATTGTAGGAACATTTTACCTACTGATACTTTGGGAGGACAGAATCCCTACACATATTTAAACGAGCTTATTCGCTTTTCTAGATCACCTGTTGACCAGCACATTCTGGCTGAATCTGGTCTCTTTCCACCATTGTTTACATTACAGCACATAAAGGTCGTCCATGCCAATGCATTTTATACTTTTTTTAGTCCACTTTGTCGAATAACAAAATCACTGGACTGTAAAATACTTGATGCTTTGCCAGACACAAGCTCACTGTTTGTCACCCACTTTACAAATAACAAAAACATGGTAGGGACAATTGTGCACATTAGTACAATTAAAGTTCTTCCTTTAGTGATCCTCTTATGCTGTAGTTATACACTACTATCACATATTTTCTACTTGGACCGAGGGATTATTTACAAATTTGGCCCCTCAGATTTGGCAGTGAAGTGAGAGCTGTAGAGAAGTAATGGAGTTCAGAGCAGGACTGTGTGTCACCGTGGCAAAGACACGAGGTTTGGCTGAGGCATAGCCAGCTCTAGTCCAGGACACTTCACTGCTATTTGTCCTCGTACAATTACGATCAACGCTCTTGATTTTTGGCAGAACAGATAGATGACACTACTAACGTGTTTCACAAACCAATTACATACAACCCATGACAGTGTCTCATATTGGACATGTGTTATAAGCCAAGGTCTTGTTGCTGTTTGTTTTCAAAACGTCCCCCATGTGGAAGCTTGTCTTGTTGTTCGCTGCAGTCCTGATTGTCTGTGTGGAACACTGAGCAGCAGATGATTATCTCCTGATAGCAGCACAGCGGGGAAAAAACCTCTCTCTTCCCAGTCTGTGGGGATTGGGAAAGCCGTTGACAAGTAAAGGAGGGCAAAAGTAGATGGAGAACACGAGCCACCACTGGGCCTTCCTTTCACACGATCATCTCCCCCCCTCCTTTCTCCTCTCCTTTCTCGCCTCCTCCCTCTGTCTCATTGTCAGCGGTTGTGAGAGGAGGCCCGGCCCTGGCCTTCCGACTCGTGTCTCTCCATCCCCTCCTCAGCTTCCCTGCCCATATGCTCTCACGCAGGCAGGCAGAGGTTCATTAGCGTGCACACGGCATCTCCATGTGGCGCTTCCTCTACAAAATAACAGGCCATCCAACCTAATGAGGCTGAGATATGAGGAAACTCTGAGAGTCTGCCGCAGCTGTGTGTGTGTGTGTGTGTGTGTGTGTGTGTGTGTGTGTGTGTGTGTGTGTGTGTGTGTGTGTGTGTGTGTGTGTGTGTGTGTGTGTGTGTGTGTGTGTGTGTGTGTGTGTGTGTGTGTGTGTGTGTGTGTGTGTGTGTGTGTGTGTGTGTGTGTGTGTGTGTGTGTGTGTGTGTGTGTGTGTGTGTGTGTGTGTGTGTGTGTATTTGTTGTGTGTGAGCGCCGCCTGCCTTTTAACAGCCAAAGACACATTTTCTCCATGCTGATCGTCTGTGTGTCTCTGCCGTCAGCTTGTCAGACCTGTCACCATAGTGCCTAACGTCCCCGGGATCCCAGGACCCCCCTCGCCACAGCCACAGCCCGTCCAATCAGAAGCAAAGCTGGTATTAATTATCTCTTCTCTTACATCAAATACCATTTTCATGTTGAGTTTTTTATTTCCCATCTGAGAGATAAAATAACAGCCAAAGTAATGAGGGAGCTTGATGAGAAGCGACCTTTCTTTGACCAGATGAGGGCGCTAGTGACAGGTTGGGTCTGTAGTATTACACTAACTGGTATTTTTACATTTGTATTATTTTATACCTTTTAACAATAGACTTTCCATCTGGATGAAGGATATTGTATTTCTTTGAATCGATTCATTTTTACTGGTTTATAGCAAAAGCTTAGCTGATTAACTGACTATTTGTTGGAAAAATAATGGGATAATAATCGTTGTCATTGTAGATTTGCTGTTACAATAATATTAATAATAACATTCATTAATAACTTCATTTTTCTATCACCTTTCATGCAAAAAAAATGAAGAATAACGCATTACAATAAGTAAAACTACGTATTGAAACATGTGCTGTTTCTTCTTTGTTATATGTGAAACTAACCTGACTACCTTAGGTTTTGTCTGTTTGAGGCATTCTTGTGAATATTTTATTTGTGCCTTATCCAATCCTCTTTAAGTCCCATTCTTATGAACACCTTATTTTATGAACGCTTTGAAGGATTTCTTTTTTATTTGGCACAAGTGTCTCGATGATGAACTGATTAGAATTGATTTGGTGGTTAAAGGTCAAAGGTCATCCCCATACAACACATTTTTGGCCATAAATCAAGAATTTACGTTCTAATTTTGACAATTTCACACAGTGGATTAAATTATGATAATGAGTTTGGACTTAAACTGCATTTTGACTGCTTGTCAAAGTAACTATTGTTCACTAATTTGAGACATTCCATTGACAAAACGATTAAATTAATTCAGAAAATAAAAAATACTCACAAAACTGATTGGATAATCATATAAAAACAGAACCCCCGCCTCAAAAACATTCCGAATATCTCTCTGTGGGCAGAGGATGGTCATAGACCTGCTGTTTCTAAAGTGAGTTGAAGGGCAGGGATATGGAGTGTAGAGAGGGGGATCAGTGGCAAAGTGATGGAGCACGGATCACAGGACCTGTAAGTGTTCGCAGCGTGCTCCGCCTGTGGAAATTAACAGATACACTGCGGAGAGGAGGTGTGTGTGTGTTGTAGGGGAGGATTGATCCTGACTGGAGAGGAAGGAGTGAAGGAAGGGGGAGGCGAGGAGGTTGTCGGGGATCATGGGGTACGGAGATGACAAACTCGGAGACAGCGTTGTGCTCAGCACGCCGTCACCGGGGCCAACCGGGGGGGGGGCTGCCAGCGAGAGCCAGCTGGGGGCATCCTGGCACACGCTCAGCGAGGCACATTAAGTCGGCCTCACCCTGCATGGAACCTTTTGTTCAGCAGAATCCTGCCTGACCTGCCCCCCCCCCCCCCCCCCCCCCCCCGTCTCACTCGCGGCGCCTCCCACCGCACCCAGCTCATCAGCAAACACCTAATGAGCCCGCGTCAAGAAAACAGACCCCCGCTCAACCTGCCCGCTCTCCCCCCCCCTACCCGACTCTCGGGGGGCGCGGAGACGGCACTTTACAAGGACTGATGATGCTGCAAAGACCACAATAATGATAATTAACTTGCTGAATTTAGAAGATTATGCTGTTAATTAGTTGCAAAATAAAGATAAGTAATATAGTAGCAGATGGTTGAATAACACCCATGAGATGGAGGGTTATTACACTGATGAGGTTTCCGTGGCAGAGATGAAATATGGATCCGACTGGCTTTCCCCTCTTTCTATGGGCCATTCCAAGAGAATAATATCTTGTTTCTGCCAGAAGAGCTTCTGGAAGGGTATTACACGATAAACTAATTTGGTAGATAGATTGGTCTGGCAAAGGTAGTTGTTAGAATAATGTGGTCCTCTGTTTTCTCATGTAAATGTATTCCCTCTCACTTTGTTATTGCCTCGAAAGGCTCATTCACTTTCACCTTGTTTGCTCAGTGTTTGATACTAGAGGAATTGGCCTGTGAGTCATGGACACCAATCTGTAGGGAAGTAGTTTCTGTGAATGTGGTGTATTCAATCCTAGTCCATGTTCAGAAATATACATGTTTTGATAGTTTGGGTCAAATTATGTACCGTGGATCTCCATCAAATGTTTTCATCAATAGGGCTGCCCCCTCTTAGTCGATTTGTAATCCATTGTTGGCTAAAATGTCTTTATCTGGATTGTTTTTCATGCTTTTTTACAGGTACAATTTTATATATATTGTGAAAACACATGTCTTATCTGCCACTGAAAATGAATTTTAAACATATTAACTTTATATAGTCTATTGAGATATATGAAAAATAGCAACAAACGTTTTTTTTTACAATTTTTCATGACTAAAAATAAATGTCCTCGCCTCCTTTTTGCATGAACATTTCATGACTGTTTTTCATGATTCTTTTCCCTGAAACTGAAACCCACACTAAGCCAGCTGCCTCCTCAGGTTACCACTGGAAATGTTGGTGAAGTCCAGAGCAGCGCTGTCACCCACTCTCCTGCTCCCCCTTCCCCGGCAACCCCATCTCCCTCCCCGATGGCGGTCCTGAGTCCGGCTCCTCTCCTGCCCTCGGCTGAGGAACCTTCTGCCCTCTCCCTTCAGCAGCCAGCCACCTCCACCACAGAGACCCCTGTGAGTATCCACACCTGCAGCAGACACACACTTTTGCTCAATGAGTGTTTCACAAGAGCTTCATAGAAGAGTCTTATTTTGTATTGTATCTGTGGGAATACGTACATGCAAGAACAATACTTAAATGTGTTCCTTAACAGACCTCAATGTCAAGGTCAATGATAGGTGTTTACAGTAGGGCTGCATGTTGAAACTCAAGTATTTTTTGTATACATTATAAATCTACCTGTAATATCAAAAACCATCAATCAATCAAGTACCAAAGAAATTGCATCATCATATTTGTAATCTTGCGTACAATCTTTTTTTTGTTTACCTCATCATTCAGTCCCCTCTTAAGGCACACATCTGGTTTGGCAGCGTATATTTTGTAAGGTATCACAAGTTCTGGTTATATTTTTTTAATGTTAGTTATTGTTTTGTATTGTTATTGTTTAGGCGTCCCCAGCGCCCTCTGCGCAAAACCCCCCGAGCACAGGAGGTCGGCGGCGCAGAAACACAAGCGAAAACCCCGATGAGAAGCGGCGCAAGTTCCTGGAGCGAAACAGAGCCGCGGCTTCTCGCTGCCGGCAGAAGAGGAAAGTTTGGGTCCAGTCTCTGGAGAAGAAGTCTGATGACCTCAACTCCACCAACGGACAACTGCAGGTGCTCCTTACCCCCTCCCCTCAGCTTCTGTTATAGCAACAGCTCCTTCATCTGTCTTTCTCATGTGCTGTTATGCATCAATGTGTCAGTTTTTGTATGTTTTGCATGCTTGCGTTTGTCTGTTCATCAACATGTGCTGTTGGTGGAAGCGTGTGTTCGCAGACTTTTCCCTTCTGTGGTGATGAAGTCATTAAAGCCGATTAAGAAGAGCTGCCGTGTGACAGCAGCGGTGTGTGAGCCCTTTACATCGATATGTCCCTGTCAATAAAGATGTATCCTCCAGATGTCAGCCGCGCACAAGCGTGTCTTCGCTTCTGTCTCAGCAGTTTACTGAATGGCCTCAAACATCTCCTAGGGAAAGGTGTCTTTTTGAACCTTCATTTTGCTGGAAGCAATTAGGATCTGATGCTGACAAGTTCGAAACAGTTCATGTATCTGCTGTCTCTGTTGATAAGTGTGAGCCGGGGGTGCGGCACATCGGTGTTCCAGACAATTAAATGAGATGTGGTGTTTATTTGCTCACTGTCTTATTTTTCTATGAAAGCAGATTTAGTTGTAGTGGGTGGAGGAGGGGATACATGACAATATAAAGACATGGGTTCATGTTGTTAATTAATATCTGTGTCAAAACATTTTTGATCACCAGTTGTCATGAGTGTGCTTTTTGAGATTACATTTGAATATATGCAGATGAAAGGGTTAGGGTAGGTTTAGGTGTGTCAGTAGACGGGTTATAAACGGAGCATCGCTGTTAACTACAAGGAAGGGAACAACATGTGGCAGGGAATAAAAGGGCGCTTTATATGAAGGCATTAATCAGCAGTGCAGTTTTTGTATAAAAGCCCATGCTGACATGGCCCAGCTGATCAGTGAAACTGCCTCTAATGATGCACAATTATTTTAACATCATCCTTAACTGGCTTTTTAATGAGGTGTCAGACCAGACCAGGCAGCTCAGACAGCTCCCAGCATCACCCAAGGCCTTTTTCTATATTTTGATTATCTCACAAAGTTAGAAATAAGTTTTACAGCTTGGCTCTGTTTAAAATACTAGGTATGATGCAGTTTGACATACTGTACCTGTTGGCGTGCATGCATCGCAGCATTACTGGTACAGGTTCTATTTCATTTTCTGGGTGAATGTTTGAGAATGCATTTGTAATTCAAACAAACAGTTTCTATTTTATCAAACTAATTGAACTACATACTTGTATGGATGTTACAATTTCTGACTTCTGTTTACAAGTCCGGCTTGCGTGCTTTCGCAGATTGGAGGGAGGGTTTTAAAGGATTGTGTTTTAAATTGGCCGTAAAAGGCTGCAGTTATGGTGGAAGAGCAGTGAATAGGGCTTTGGCTTCATGTGATGCATACGCTCCTTCCAGCTGTGTTTTAAATCTGTCTTACAATAGCTTAGCCCTGCCAACACCAGCAAGACTAAACAGATGGAATCAAATAAATTGGCTGCTTTTAGACTAATAGATTTAGCCGCCCATAGTCCTTTAAAGGAGAAAAGAAGGAGCTTAAATCTGCCATGGGGTGTTCTGCGTGCCCCTGGTCGCTTTAAATCCAGTAAAAGTCACCTTCAGCGTAATGTGGCCCTCTTTTACGACATGCAGAAATCCTCAAGTCCCCTGAGAGCCGTAACGACACCAGAGTGTAAATCTCAGAAGCATCCACAAAGTTGCACTGACAATCCCAACAGCTCACCTCTGACTAATGTGCTGCTCGTAGCCAGTGAAGGCCCATAATTATTGTGCAGGAAAAAAAGTAAATGACACTTTTCCTGTCTTTACCGTTTGGAGTACCGTTACCGCTTTTCTTGTTGTATGAAACGATGAGATCCCATGAATTACTGGTAATGAAACCAATGGTGGATGAGAGTTACCGCTAATAGAGAGAAAACAATAAACGGACATTTGGTGTAAATACTGTTTTTACTGTATATGTGCAGTAATGCGTTCAGAAGAGATATCAACGCATATATCAGATGGGGCTGATATTTACATTTTTAGACATATCAGTTTTTGCTTAAATGTGGGCCAAATAGTCACAAGAACAGTACTGAAATATAACAAATGTGTGTCGTCATTACATAGATTGTCCACCACCGAGCATCAACATGTTTATTTTGTAACTATAAAAAAAGCAATTGCTCAGTTTAAGGTATCTTTTGGTCACAATTATTTTAAAAAACTAACATAATTGATCTTTATCGTCTGTGTTACATATGTTTAAGTGTGTTTGTATAAAAATGGAGGGTACATTGTTATCAGACACTTAAACGTTCAAACATATTTATCAGTATCGGCCTCCAAAATGTAGTATGGGTTGGCCTCTAGTTCAAACTTAAGGTTATAACTTTATAATGAAACGAAGAAATGCTCCCAATCATATTTTAATGAACCATATTGAGACCTTTGTCGAAGTTTGGACAATCATTGCACAGATTTGAACTATCTGCACATGTCGTAATCGGATAAACTGTACGCTCCAGAGTGACCATTCTATTGCTGTTGTGTATTCTCCTCTCAAAGAGTGAAGTGACCCTGCTGAGAAACGAAGTGGCTCAGCTGAAGCAGCTTCTTCTGGCTCATAAAGATTGCCCTGTAACCGCCATGCAGAAGAAATCCGGCTATCACAGTGAGTAATGCTCCATTATTCTCAGCCCGAGGCTTCCTGTGAAACGCTTCTAAAATGAAGGACATGTCTTACTTATGGCCAAACAGAAAGAGCTATTGACTTATTAGATAAAAAGAAAAACTTTGCAGAAGTTAAGATATTAATGGGCAGAAGGGTTTCAGACACATTTCTCGCTGCCGGCATTGTCCAAGTCTTTTGACGAGGCCACAGGTGGTAACCACAAGAACTGTTTCCTCCTCATTTGACACAATTTGTCACATGCAGATAAATGTCTGCAGGACATATCGTCGGGTTGTCAGAATAAATAAGCCTGATCTGTGTTTCTCTAACTCCTACTGTGCATGTGTTAATTCAAATATAACTTCATACTACTTACATACGAGAATCACGAATATTTAAACATCATAATTGTGCAGTTTGCAGCCTCTTCATTTAAATGTCTTGTCGTCAAGGCGCACAATGCGTCTCCATGCCAGTTCTTGTTCATCACACATTTAGAATCAACAATATTTCTTCTGTCATTCTGATTTTCCATTCATAACTCACCTTCCCTCACAGATGAGCCAGTATGCAAGCCGCTTCTCCACTGTGATGTAAACCCCTCCGCTGACTTGTATTGACAATGATTGCCTCTGAAATGAGTCTATTAAAGCAGCAAGCTTGACAAGACTGCAGAGAGATTCTCATTGCGGGGTGTCCACCAAGCTAGGCTGTTCATTATGCATCCCCTATTGCTAACCATCCCACTGACACACGTCCTGTGCATTATGGGACTGATGGTTTGCAGGCTAGAGCCGGCTGTCAGAGCCAGGTCTCATTTGGTGTTGTCTGGATTGTTTTTTCGAAAGATCCACAGATGAATTGGGTCATCTTTCTCATGTGTTGCCGAGGATGTCTGTCCCGTGTTTCTGGACCTTTGTGAAGGATGACATTTGGAGCACTTGTTACCCTGTTTGGGAAGATATAACCTCATCCAAATACCCCAGTTCATCAGTGTGGCTCTCACAGTGACAGATTTTAGACAAGCAATGAAGGAAAACCAACTAATGTGAAAGGAGGAATAAATATCTGGCAAAATGAAATAATCCAGTGGCTCCCAACCTTTTTAATGTACCTACATCGACCTACCTATTGATTAGTTTCTGCTTTTTCAGCACTTATTTTATAGTTTCAGCTAATCATTTCCACTTGTTATCCACAACATCTAGCTATATATTTCATTTGCATCAACTACTGCTTCTTCAAGCAGTGAAATAGTTGGCAAAATTCTTGAATCCAAAAGTTTGAGCCAATTCAACCATTGCTTATATTTAACTTTTAAACATCATTAATTCATGAATTCATTACTTTGTCTGTTGCCATCTATTTTGAATATTTATCCATTACTTTACCTAAGCTTTTAGACGTCTACCTACATGATTTCATGTACTTTTGATCACAACATGTACTGTACAGGTGCTATAGCTGATTGAATATGTTTTCAATTAAATCATGTATCCTTCCATATACCCCCTGGCAGTTGCATAAGTACACCCTGAGGCACGAGTACCCCTGGTTTGGAGTCACTGATTAAATCGATCTTGCTAATTACTGACTGACTGATCTGTGGCCCTCACATATGTAAAGGGCCTCATGAAGCCCTCCATTCTCTGGGTGTTACATATCCTGTTAGACTACATGGCCCCCCAGGTCTGGTAAAGACCCTTCATGGTTCTGCCCAGGTGGGAGGACATTACCCAGACTGCCCCGCTAACAAGCCAGGACAAGCTTACACTTGGCATGCAAAGCTGTCCATCTGCTTACAGCGAACCCCACTTCAGAAACCAAGAGAGCAGAAAGAGGATCTGGCTTCCCAGGAAACTAGATTTTTCGGAGTATTATGATACGTCCAACAGCCACCCCTTAATGTCATTAGGAGTAATAATGCACACTTGAACATGGAACAAAACCACCACGCTGATTTATTCTGAGGTTGACCTTCTGCATGGTAAAACAGCAAGGGAGTTTATAGTGCTTTGACATTCACTTGCACTAAATCACACGGTCAAAGTCCAGTCAGGAAGGCAGATGAAGCCTCTAATGTGAAGACATTTGTATTTGCACTTTAATTGCTTCCTCTTGCTCAGGAATCTGTATTTAACACTCTCAAATACGAAACCCCGGTCATTAATTACAAAGTGGCATAACAAGTGACTTCATATCATTAACAATATTAATTATCACTGTGCTCCTTATTCCTTTACGAAACAGAGCATGAGAGTAGGCTTTTTTTTCCATCAGGATCCAATTAATTCAATGCAACTGCCTAACAGCTGGTGGCATTTCAACTCCAAGTCTTCCCTACTCTCAAGTGTGTGCATCATTAAAATCAGGTGCTGTAATCATCTGTCGCTGCAGTAGTTGGCAAGGTAACAAAAAACAAATGAGAGAACAGTTAGGGATGGGAAACACTGCCACATGCCCCAGAATGTAATGTACCCTTATGATGTGGGTTTAAATTGACATTGGAGCTTTAATTAAAGGAAGGGGTGCAGAAGTAGCATTATGGGGATTAATGAAACAGTTTTCACACACCACATGCAAATAGCTGTTTTACATCTGATTAGGCCTATGTGCCAAAGCTTTCCCCAGCCTTTCTAGATGATATGCTGTAATGTAAGAACATCATAACATTATAATGGTACAAGTTTATTGTTCAGTGGTTATTCTCTCATCTTTTCCAACACAGTCTCGGATAAGGACGAGAGCTGCGAGGAGATGTCCGTCCCCAGCAGCCCCCAGAACGAAGCCATCCAGAACGAAGCCATCCAGCACAGCTCCGTCAGCACCTCCAACGGGGTCAGCTCCTCCTCCACGACCCCGTCCGTCTCCACCGCGTCCAACCAGAGCACAGAGGAGACCCAGCCTTCAGGGAGCTGATCGCCGCAAACCGTGCCCGAGCGTCAAACCTGGAGCCTCTTTAATCCCTGCGACACACAGAGGGATTCTCTTCAGTTTGAAGTGTGGTGTTTTTCATTTATTAAGATTGTATTGTTTTTGTTTGGTCCATTTTGTCCTCCTTTCGCAATGCTTTTTGAAAATGCAAATGTTTTCTCTGGAATTGATGAAGACAAAAGAACAGGCACTTTAGGTGTTAGATGTAAAACACGTGGTTCTAAAATGATTTTGTACTTGTGTGATTTATTTATTAATCTTATGTTTGTATTTATTTATAAGCGATCAGCCTTAAAGTTTGATCAGTGAATTGTTAGAGACCTTACCAAAGTATGTTGTGTGGGTCATTTGTAATTAGTTTGCTTGTTTGTTTTCATTACTTTTGTAAGCACTGTCTTTATGATGAAGTTACATAAAGATGAGTCAGCCTTTTTTTGTAATTTGCTTTTTCAATTTTGCACATTTTGAGAGATAATTGGTGACCTTTTTAGAGATTGACAGCCCACATGTTATTAAGTACAGGCAGATTTTTAGAAGTACATTTGAATACTGTCACATTACACACATGTAAATGCCTGAATCAGATTTAAGATTTGACAACTCTTCTGTGAGTGAGATCAGATGTAGTCACATTGTGCTGTTTGAATGTTTGCGCTCACCTCTGCTTGTAGAAATAGTGTTGAGGAGGTGAGCCGGTTAGAAACGTGTTATTTCATTAACATTCCACGTGTTGTCTGATTGTTCCTGAAGCAGTGATTGTAGGATTGCAGTACCTTTTCCATTACTCAATCTTTGTGATGTTGACTTCATTCAGTGCCATTAATGTTTTTGTATCTTCTGTACATTTCTAATGCAGATTAGCTCAAACTGTTAAGATTAAGGGTCTCATGAACATTTTAGTAAGGAGATATCTTGCTTTGTGTAAGGCTTCAACGCAGAACACTTAAAGATGTTGTTTTCATGATTACAATTTTTTGACATTTTTAGAAAACATTGTAAATAACGTCAATGATACATTGTGTGTGATCTTTTTAGGTGGTATGTACTTTTGTATAGAATAGTCTGGGGACAGAGCTGAGCCCTGTTGACCACATGAACTATGTTAGACGTAGATCTTAACAATGTTGAAATCATTAAGATGACTCGACTTCTCATGTAAAATAAAGCGTTCAGATTTGAACTGGAAACACATAATATATATTAGAGTAACACTCCTACCGCCTGTAAGAATCGTGAGCATTTCATCATTGAAACAATAGTAAGAAGCAAGTCACACTATGAAGTCAATTTGCCTTTTTTCTTAGTCTGTCCTAGCTTACTACTGTGTAGTTTTAAGAAAAGCTAAAAAAAAAAAAAAGGTTTTCTTAATGTATGAATCGTTTTTATTTTCACTGTTTTGTGCTATTTGCATGAGATAATAATTCTCCGTGAGAATTTAATTGTTTTAATAGTAATAATGTCTCAGTCAGATAAAAAATATAATTAAACAAGTTGTTTCAACTTCAGTTGTGGCTCTAAGTTTATGAAAGCTTTGGTTTGTTTTACCTCAGCGTTACTGCTAAAACAGGAGTGTGATACTGTATTGAAAATGTACTTGTAACTTGTGAAAGTTCTGTATAAAACATTTGAATTGATAAGTTGTTGTAATAAACCTTTTAATATCTCTTTAAAATCCAGCTTTGCTTCAATGTATTGCTCCAGATGGAAAGAAACTCTGAATATGTGATTGGGCTAACAACATTAATGGCTGTTCATTGGGTTTCTAACAATAAGATAATAATGTAGAAGACAACCCTCCCCACATGCTTTACCAGATGTTACAATGGGGCAATGTCTTAATGCTTTCATTCAAAACCAGTGTTTTGATTTCGACCTGGCTGCTGCATGTTGTCAAAACTGTAAGGGATGAACACAAAAAATCTTGTGGTGTATTCTGCCACCTTGTGGATGATCTAGAATTGTCCATATTTTTGATAAAATATCATTATTAGCCATAAGTCAACTGGATACTGAATATTTGTGTTTTTCCTAATAGTTCTCCTGCTTTCAAAGGTACTTATATACACACACTTAAGTACAACAATATGATCAGCACAATGTATCTCATTTACACTGAAAATAGGCTAATGGTGGAGCTAATATTTTACAACTTCAAATACTGTTTGATAGTTTTCATCACTAACTAAAAGAAAGACACAAAAGCCAAATGCATTAACTGGCTATAATAACCATAGTCAGGAATAATTGTGCTGACAAACAAACTGAAAACATAACCTTCTAAAAAAATATGCCTTGAATAGTGACTATAGCTTTCAAATACATGTTGAGTAAATTGTAATTGCATGGATGCAATGGATGCAATTATTTGGACTGGCCAAAAATACTTGTTTATCACTTTCACATATTTTCATTTAATGATAAAACTTAGATTTTGGTTTAGGTTTGCTAAATCAAAGGTAGATTTTGGTTGCTAAATCAAGGTTGGAATGACCTATTCATATGTTGTGCTGCTCTATAAAGGCAATACATGTTTTCCTCTTCTGATCCATTATTTTTAAATTATATAGATTATCTTTTATTTTTATATTGCCTTGTATATCTTGTCTTCAGGCCCTATGCTTTTATGTAAAACACTTTGTAATGTCTTGTTTACGAAAGGCGCTATACAAACCAACTTGCCTCACCTAAACAGGTAGGCCTATAGGCAACACATTCACTGCTGAAATGGAACAACACTCCTTCCTGTCATTATGGAAATTAGCTGAGTTCCGTATGGGATGACGCAGGCTAAAATAAACTGAACATTGACAGTGTTGCTAAGAGTGACCTTTTATTGTTCCTGCAGTAGCCTATACGTGTCTGTGTGTGTGTGTGTGTGTGTGTGTGTGTGTGTGTGTGTGTGTGTGTGTGTGTGTGTGTGTGTGTGTGTGTGTGTGTGTGTGTGTGTGTGTGTGTGTGTGTGTGTGTGTGTGTGTGTGTGTGTGTGTGTGTGTGTGTGTGTGTGTGTGTGTGTGTGTGTGTGTGTGTGTGTGTGTGTGCGCATATTGTGTGAGTGAGCGAGAGAGAGAGAGCAAGCACGTGTTACCGGGGTTTGTTTTTGTTAGCATTTGGTGCTAGCTAGCGGCTCTAACCGCTGTGAGAAGCTGTTTCTACAACAAGGTGGAGGAAGAGTTCTCTCCTGTCTGACTCAGATAACTACAGCTCAGGTGAGGTAAAGGACTTTATTTTACTTTAAACTTTCGGTTAAAATCTTGCCTATAGGGAAGCAAATTGGTCTGAGCCAATGAGCTTAATTTACACAAACAACCTGCATCCGTCATTCTCAAATTACAGTCTCAATGTGTATTTAGCTATGGTATTTAGTCAAACTCACATATGGAGCTGCTTCAATATCTCCCTTTGACAGTAGAGGAAGACTGAAACACCTATAGGCCTACTCTTCACTGCTTCTATTTTAGTGTTACATTACTTATTGTCTTTCACGAAGAAGTTGCATCAACTGCACATCATGGTATTCAACAAGTGTAAGGATTGTGTTTAAATTGATTATATAAACTGCAAAAAATAAAAAGCAGTAGGCTACATATCAAAGTAGGATTGTTTTTTTCAATGAAAAAATACATGCAGCTCAAATGATTAGAAAAACCGGTGTTCATTTAAATATGAATATTGTACTTGATTGTGTGTGCTATTTGCTCACATAATGAAGCAAACGACCCCTGAGCAAATTATGATCTGCATGATGCACAGCTGAAGGTTTCCCTGATGTCTCCACCAGCAACGGCTCTGAGTGTCCAGCAGGTGGCAACACATCCAAACTAATACCCCAAATGCAAATGGCTGTCTTAATGTATCTGCTTTTCATGGAAACATTATTCAGATTACAGCTAGGAGAACTCACCGAGATGTAAACAAAAAAGCCTCTCAAATCGAACATTATTCGACACAAAATCAGAGAGCTGTTTGAATGTTTTACTTATTCATATTGTTTCATTTACATTTTGAGACTATGTTAAATTAAGAAAATAATAAATTGTCTCTCATTAAGTGTTTTGTCCTGTTTACAGAGACAGAATTGTGCCTCCAAACACACCCTCACAGTGTTAAAGTGGGGCAGCCTTGATTCACTGCTGATCACAGAGGGGAGAAATGTAAATGTTACTATGTAGGTCACAGCCTTTACGAATAACATCACTTTTGGCTCGATGCTGCATATTTACAGAAATGAACCAGAATCATGCGACAGTACAGATCTTTGAAGTTAAATCAAAGGGGAGAGAAAAACAAAGTCAAATCTTATTTTTCCTTTCTTTCTCACATGCAGAAAATAATTAATCTGGATTGTTTGATTAATTAAAATCCCCCTGGCAAACATCCCTGCCTTATTCATTATTCATCCTGTAATGATTTTAATGTTAATTTGATGAGGTTTCCCATTAATGAATGCATGTTTGGAGGTATCACCATTTTCTAGCTATAGCAGCATGAAGAGAAGCGTATATCAGTGTCCTGTGTGGTGACAAAAACACACATTGCGAAATAAACAGAATCATCACTGAACAGCAGCAACAGTCTCCATATTTCTCTAAATTACGAGCCACACATGGATGCGAAGCCATACGACAAAGCCTAATTGGGAAAGGCAACAGGAATAAAGATGGCCTCTGGTTGGGAGTCTCTCTGTGTTTCCCTCTCGATAAATGAGCAGGATAATAATGTGGAACTGATCTGCTGACAGGCAGGCGGCTCCAGCTGTTCCCATAATTCGACAGGTATTACGCTTTGGCCCTTAGCAGACTGGCACTTAATTAGGCAAGGATTAAGGCCAAACAGCCTCATTTACGTGAAATGTTTCACAAATACAAACAGGCTGCCCTTTCTCCTTCAGGGGGCATCAGGGGTTACATTTGAAAAACGCAGAGGTTTGCTCAAAAGAAGATGCTCCAGGCTTTAAACTCCAGATTTCTCAACAATGAAGACTCTTTCCCCCTGCTGAGGGGTGCTGTTTTTGAGCACACGCTCTTAACCCCTCAAATCCAGGGAGACAGAGATGAAACAGCTTGATTTACATTTAATTCAGATTATGCAAATACACTGGTCACGTCCCAAACCAAACACGGGACACAATGCAAGCTGCCTGCAGCACCCAGCAAAGATGGCCTCTATTGTTATTCAAATTCAAGGAATAAAGTATTGCTTTCATACATGGGCTGGGCGTTTAATTGAACTCCTGATGAGATATAATATGTTCTCTCTACAAATATTGATAACCACTCATTATTTTCACTTGGCAAACTCCACACACTATCATGTGGAGTCTGTTTGCTTTCGCTCGTGATTGGAGGGCGATGGGCACGGCATCTGGCTCTGCCACGCGGGATGTGCATGTGTTTAATAGTATTATAACGGAGTATCAGCTCAGCTATCACTGAGTGCAAGGGTGGAGGCAAATCCCCAGTGGGCATGTGCACGTGCATCGAGTGAGCTCTACTCTGCCAATCCCTCCCCTGGGCTTCCCCGGTGGCACCGTGATCTCCTCCATTAGCCTGCGCTGACATTAGCATTCATGAGGTCTATTCAGTAGGCCGTTGACTATATGTGCATACTGTATGTTGGTCTCCTACTCAATTCTGTTTCCCATGTGAGTTTGCTTATTTGGTTATCAATATTTAATAGTGGTTAAATTGACTTTCCATGCTGCCATTGACGGGTTATGAAACAACACTTCAAGCAAGCAGCACCCGAAGTCTGAAGTTTCTATCATTTGTAGTCATTTTAGCATTGTTTGTGTCATTTTGCATTTCTTTGTCGTCTTTTTTTGCCTCTTTTTGTTTTTTTTGTGTATCTTTCTAGTAATTTTGCATTTCATTGTAGTTGTACAGCATCTCTTTGCAGCTGCTTGTGATCCCTGGCATCTTTGTGGCCGTTTTGTGTATTGTTTTTGTCTCTTTCCGGGACAGTGTTCAGTCATTTACGTTTGTTGTGCACTGACGATACATTGCTTTACTTTCTGGTAAAACAAGGCAGAGCTCGGCCAGGTTCATCTGGCCATTATTTAATGTTTGGAGAAGATGTTTTTAGATCCTTGTAAGAAGAGAAAGGATATGAATACTTTTATAAGAACTGAAATATTGCATTATTAAAATAGTCATTTAGACCTCCTTTACTTCTTGCAATGCATCATTCATCGAAAAATGTAGTCGTGAACGAATAGGGTAAAACAGGACATCTATCTAGTTACTTTAATGCCACTAATTGTAAGACGTCTCAATATAAATATGCAACTTAACATTAGTATATCTGAAATTAAACACATCTTATATCACTCAAAATGGAATAACATTAATTTAATGTTGTTCTTTTTCCATTAACTTGCCACCTTTAGCAGGTATTGTGTTGTCTAATCATTAAGAAGAAGGATGCATGCTTTTTTTCACCACAACTACTACCCTTACAGAGGCCTCTGGTAAGTGACTATAAAAATGATTGATAACTTCCAGAGTCGTAAACGTCCCGACCCAGGCTGTTATCTTCTTCCTGTATTGCTCATATCTGATCCATGTCTGCTAGCCACTCTGTGACAGTATATCTTCTCATGATGTACTTGGCAAGAACTT